AGAAAGAAAAATGAAAAGTCTTATTATAACCACTTAACTAAATCAGGTAGTTCTCATTCTCTACCCACTTGTGTTTTGCATCTATCCTCTATGATTTGTTTCCTTAGGTTGCTATTTTAATTTTTTTTTTTTTTTGTGTCGGGGGCTGGGTTTGAACCCGCCCCCTCTGTTATGCGGCCAGTACCCTACTCCTTTGAGCTACGGGCGCCACCCGGTTGCTATTTTAATTTTTTAATTGAGACTTTAAAAAAATGTATTAATACATAGAGTTGGGTGTGGTAATGTGTACCTGTAGACCCACCTGCTCAGGAGGCTGAGGCAGAGGATCACTGGAGCCCAGGAGTTAGAGGCTCCAGTGAGCTATGATCATGCCATTGTACACCAACTGGGGGACAGAACTAGCTAGCTAGCTAGCTAGATAAAACAAGCAAGCTAAATAAATAAAATGTAGGAATGGATTATATTATCTTTGGGTGGCAAAGACATAGATGTTACTCGTTCTTTCAATTTTTGAAAATATTCATGTGTTGCTTTTCTCCCCATGCTCTTTCGTTTTTAGAGTAATTTCAGGTTCACAGCAAAATTGACACATCCATAGCTTCCCCCATAATCAATATACCCCTTCAAATTGGCACATTGGTTAAAATTAATAAACCTCCATTGACATGTCATTGTCACCTGAAGTCCATAGTTTACATTAGGGCTCATTCTGGGTGTTGTACACTGTGAATTTGGATTAATGTTTAATGACATGTGTCTATCATTATAGTATCATACAGAATAAAAAATCTTTTGTGCTGTACTTATCCCTCTTTCCTTTCAAATTCCTGACAATCACTGATTTTTTTTTTTTACCTCCTTCATTGTTTTGCTTTTTCTAGAATCATATACTTGGAATCATACATATGTAATCTTTCAGATTGGCTTCTTTCACTTGGCAATATGCACTTAAATTTCCTCCATGTCTTTTCATACCTTGATAGCTCATTTCTTTTTAGCATTAAATAATGCTCCATTGCCTGAATGTGCTACTTTATTTACCCATTTACCTGCTGAAGGACATCTTATTTGCTTCCAAGTTTTGGCAATTAGGAATAAAGCTGCTATAAATATTACATGCAGTTTTTTGTGTGGACATGTTTTCAACTCCTTTGAGTAAGTGCCAACGAATACAATTGCTAGATCATGTGGTAAGAGAATATTTAATTTCGTAAGAACCTGCCAAACTATCTTTCAAAGTGGCTGCATCATTTTACATTCCCACTAGCAAAGAATGAGAGATACAGTTGTTCTACAAGTTCACCAGCATTTGATGTTGTCAGTGTTCAGGGTTTTGGCCATTCTACTAGGGGTGTTATTGAAAGTCAGAAAGCAAGACAAAAATAAATTTCAATTAAAAAAAATAAAATAAAATTCTTTTCTTTTGTGTAGTTGGTGAGCTTTAGTCCCTCTCCTCCTCCATACCCTGCCACTGTTGGACCAGTAGAGAGCAGTGGGTTGAGATCTCGCTACCGTTCTTCTCCCACTGTCTATAACTCACCTACTGACAAAGAAGACTACATGACAGACCTACGGACTTTGGACACTTTTCTTAGGGGTGAAGAAGAGAAACAGCATAGGGTTAAGCTGGGTATGTATGTATTTTATCTATTTTTATTGTCACTTTATGTGATCCTTAACTTTCATTATTTTGATACCTGCACATAAAATTTTAAGTCTCTTTTACTAACATACATTGTGTAGCTTAGGAAATACATTTTATTTTATTTTATGCAGTTAGAATTAAGTTCACTAAATTTTTTTTCAGTTTTTGGCCGGGGCTGGGCTTGAACCTGCCACCTCCGGCATATGGGGCCGGCACCCTACTCCTTGCACCACAGGCACTGCCCCAAGTTCACTAAATTTAAACAGTGATAAATATCTGAACTGAGAAATCTTGAACTTGTGTCTACAATAAAATTGAAAACTTACCATACAATTTAAGCTACAATTTCTATTTAAAGTTGAGGCTACACGACAGCGCTCTTAGCTCAGTGGGTAGGGCACCAGCCACATACACCGAGGCTGATGGGTTTGAACCTGGCCTGGGCCAGCTAAAACAATGACAACTGCAACAAAACAAAAAAAAGTAGCCAGGCATTGTGGTGGGCGCCCATAGTCCCAGCTACTTGGGAGGCTGAAGCAAGAGAATTGCTTAAGCCCAAGAGTTTGGGATTACTGTGAGCCATGATGCCACAGCACTCTACCTAGGACAGCATCTTGAGACTCTGTGTCAAAAATAAATAAATAAAGTTGAAGGTTCAAAATAATGTTTTTGAAGGAAGGCCTAGTGCACTTACTCAGATAATAGCTATTACTTTTCAGTAATCCTTTGTGAGGTTAGTGTCACAGAGCAAGATGAAGGAGAAAGCATGAATTTGTTGCTGTTTGTCAGAACAGTCTCTCTGTTGCCCAGGCTAGAGTGCCATGGCATCAGTCTAGCTTACAGTAATCTCAGACTCCTGGGCTCAAGCAATCCTCCTGCATCAGCCTTCCATGTAGCTGGGACTACAGTGCTCACTACAACATGCAGCAGACAGGGTCTCACTCTTACTCAGGCTGGCCTTGAACTCCTGAGCTCAAGACATCCTCCTGCTTTAGCCTCCCAGAGGGCTAGGATTACAGGTATGAGCCACCACATCTGGCCTATCAGAACATTTTTAAACTTGTTTTTTTAGTTAGTCTTTTAGTCTTCCTTAAAGCCTATACTGTATCTTGGGAAATAATGTTAGCAAATCTTAATCTATTTGGGGTGTATTTGATTATAACAAAATCAGTTATTTGTAATGAAATTAGGCTACTAAGCTAAGTAATGATTTTTCTTCCCAGGAACTTTCACAGAAAGCACGTTAGGTGCTAGTACTAGCTTGGCCATGGTGAGGATGCCAGTTACTGGACCATGACTGTGTTGCTTGAAATTTTTCCAGTGATTTTTAATTTGGTTTTACCTGAAAGTGCCACAAATGTCAAAGAAACAAATCAGTGTTATCTCATCATTTTTAATAACATGCTTTTTAAAATTTTGAAGTATTTCAAATCTATTGGAAATAATACAGAGTATAATACAAAGAACAGACTGTATATCCTTTACATATCTTGGCGATACCAAG